TTGTATTATTATAGTTTCCTGTTATTTACACCCGAGCTGTGTGTACCCATCATTTACCATCTCCAAATTCTCTGACCCAACTGTGAAAAATCTCTGAATACACTGAAATATGTCAGATACTCTGTCGATTTGTGTCTGGCTGCCCTCCAGGCCTGCTGTACAGCTGTCGAGCTCACATGTCCCTTTAGCTTTGCCCTGGGGATCCCAGTCATCTCTCCTGCATTGGATTTCGTACTTCCTGGACCCTCTCCTGGTTCATGCTCTCATTTAAGTAGAGCCTCTCTTCCTGTACCTTCTCAAGAAACATATAGAATGAAAAACTATTATATCTTGCAGGTTTGACAATATTCTTATTCTATCCTTGTATTTGACTAATAATTTTATTGGATAAAATTTTTATAGGATTTTAATTTGGAAGATATTTCCTCTCAGAATTTCAAAGGCATTGCTTTCTTGTCTTTAGGGTCAAATGTTGCTTCAGGAGGTCTGCTAACCATTGTGGTTACTGATCCTTTGTGTGTGACCTACATTTTTCTCTCTGGAAGCTTTTGGATTCTTTTATGAATCCAATGATCTAGAATTTCATGGCAATGTACTTTAATGAGAATCTTTTTTCTTTTTATTTAAACTAATGAGACAGGCACTCCGTAGCCTTGGCAATGTATATACTAATTTCTAGAAAATACTGTGTTATTCTTGAGTAATCTCCCTCCCAGTTTCTTTGTACTCTCTTTCTAGAACTCCCATTATCCAGATGCTGGATCTCTTTGATCTAATTTTTTTATCTTTTGTCTCCTAATTGCTGTGTTTAATGTGTTTACTTTCTGGGGAAAATGTTGCTTAACTTCCAAATGTTACACCATTTATATATCTATTATCAATCTTTGTAATATTCAAGAGGTTTTAATTCTCTTTTTTTAAGTTTTAATGTTTCCTTCTCTGGGCATCCTGTTCTTACTTCATGACTGATATTATTTCATCTCTTTTGATCCTGGCATTTTTTACTGCCCCTAAATTTTGTTATATGGCTTTTTTTTTTTCTATTTAATTTTGGTTTTTGTGTTTGTTAGTGGTTTTCCTCAAATGTCTTCTTGTCCTGGGCTGTTTATTTACATTTATGAGGGAGAATGAAAAAGTTGACAGGAAGCTCTGTAAGCACTGATGGGTGCTCCCATGTCACGATTAAGGCGTCCTGTATAGCGATGGGACAGGAACTTGGCTGTTGTAGCTGTCACTACCTGCAGTCGTTTCTCTTAGATGATCGATTTCCTCAGAGGGGAATGCAACTGCTGTAAGCGGATGGGAGTGGGAGTGCAGGAGGGGAGTGTACACCCCTGGTTGCAGTATTCTCAGAGCACGTGGAGGAGAGACCCGGGGGTCACCATTCAGGATGGAGACTTACTCAGTTTCCGTTCTCATTTGCTGTCTCTGGCGTTTCCAATCTGGAGTCCCTCCCAAGAGTAGACCTGTCAGGCTGTTGCCTGGCTGCAGAGAATTTAAGACTGTTTCTTATACCAACTGTCAACCTTTCCATTAAAAGAACTATCTGGAACCTTTCCAAGGTGCTGTAAATTACCTTGCTCGTCCAGATTCACTCCAGTAGGCATTTGGCTTCTCCTCTCGTCTTAGCCATCTGCTTTTCTGGTCCCGAAGTCTGGTGACCATCCCTTTCCTGCTATCTTTGTCTCTCTCGATTCTCTTATCGTCAATTTATTTTTTTTTTTTTGGCCTTTAAAAAAAAATATTCTTTAAGTTTATTAGGAATTGGGAGGCAAAAGCATGTTCAACCTGCTATGTCTAAATGAAAACAAACAAACAAACAAACAAAAAAAAACCCCCAAAATCCTATTTAGGACCTTCATAAGGCTTCTGGGTCCTTGTGCCTCTGAAAGTCTGTTTCTTGCATTCACACTTTATTAGTAGTTTGGCTGACAGAGAATTCTAGCTTCAAAATTATTTTCCCTCAGTGCTTGGAGGCCTTATTCCATTAGACCTCAAGCATCCAAGGACACTGATGAGAACAATGCTGACTTCCCATGAAAATTCTTGTTCCTTTGTAGGTAATCTGTGTTTTCTCTTTCTGGAAGGTTTCATAGTCTTCTTTATCCTTGATTTTAAATTTCACAAATTTGTCCCTAGTGGTAGGATGTTTAAAATCCATCTTGTTTGTTGCTCAGTGGGACCTCTCCACCCCAGGAAGAATGGCTCTCACCTCTGTTTCCACCTTCTTGTCTGCATGTTTTAAAGAGTATACTCTTTCCATTTTGGTTTATCCATCAGGAGAAGCCAATTTACTTGCAATCATCAAAAAAATTCCTCAAAATCTCTGATTTGGGACTGATTCCTGCCACCACCAACTCTGCCCTCCTCATCTGTGTTACGGACTTCTCTGCTGTGAATCCTGCAATCTTAGTGGGATTTAGAGGAGGAGAGAGAGTAAATGTGTATCCACTTGTCACTAGCTTAGAGGGTTCACCTGTCTTTCAATATTCCCACCACTAGATTGTATGTCCAGGTCTTTATTTTCTAAGTCAACTTGAGTTATTTATATGAATATTCACTCGAATATTCTTAGAGAATAGAACCAGTTTTATTTTGTATCATGTTTACGCATAACCAGGAAAGATGGCTACATTATTGCTGTTGATATTTATGGTTAATTACAGCATTCTCAAAAACATCCCAAGAAAGATCCTAAAAAGAGAATGGTGTGGTTATTATTTACCCTGACCCTTTTCCTTTTTTTGTCCCCCCCCATCTCTTTATCATTCTCCCCTTCTAAGTGATCACCATCCCTAATTCCTTTCTTCATCTTTTCCTGGTTTTGTGTGTGTGTGTGCATGTGTGTGTGTGTATGTGTATATGCACATTTATGTGTATATATGTAGACATGTGTATACATATATGTATTGTGTATTAAATATATGTGTGTATAATTTTTATTAAATACATATATATTATAATTTGGGGGGCATATTTATTTTTGTTCAAATTACCACATACACTTTTGAAAAATCAACCTATTAAGTAATTCTAGGATCCACATATCACTGTAGAGCGCCTGTGGCCGGGACCCCAGCCCTTTGGTACTCAATGAGAAAGAATACTGAAGGGGTCTTAAATACTTTGATCTTTAACCTTGAAAATAAAACTTTTGGTTCTTCCTTAATCACTTAGACTACAATTTTCAGTTTTGAACTGTTTCCTTGGACTCTGCTAGAACTAATAACAAGCTTTTCAAAAACAGTAATAGTTAAGTCTTCTAGCCTATGAAGTTGTTCCCAAGAATAGAAATAACAAAAATGTGAAAGTAATAAATGGCCAGCACTAAAAACTAAATACATAAGGTGAAAAATGATTTTATACAACTCAAATATGTTAATCATGATATAACACAGCCTGGAACTATAAATACAGCATAGCTTTGTGGCTGATAGTCTCCATATGTATGCCTGTCAATTCTGAGGGACTTTTAAAATTTTGGTTTTGGTGAAATTTTGACCAGTCCAGAAAATATGGGTATTTTCTAGTCAAATAAGTAAAGACCTCTTACAAATGTGAACAGAGAGTTTATTAATTGGTATAAAAGTTTTATGCAACATTAAAATTATCTGCAAAAATCTTGCTTTACAAATGTTAGAAATGGTCTTAAAATGTTAATACTGAACTTAGAGTTTAAGGTCCTAACCTCAAGGAGACTCAAATTTTTTATTACTCATCTCTGAAGAATTTACCATGAAAACAGCTCTGACAGCTAAATGAATATATCGTGAGAAATACTGCTGCTCTCAGCATTAAATATTAGGGACTTTTTCAGGCCTATTAAGTTTGCTATTGTCATTCTTGTCATTACATGGAAATACCAAGAAATATGTATTTTAGTAAATCATTTGTTAGTGAATAATACTTTATACAATGAACCTGAAGGAGTTTAAATTTTAAACAGCAGTTCTCCAAAGAAAATGTCCTAAATTTAAAATTTGTTTCAGAATTGAAAAGGGCTTGGCTTTTTATAGCCAGGCTTTTCATCGAAGCTGAATCCCAGATGAGAAACTGAGAGCGGGCTCTGTGGCTGACCCGCAGAGTAACCCATCCGTAAGCCACTTTGTCTCTGGCTCACTGGTTTTCCAATCATAAAATAGAGGACGAATACTTCTGTGTGTGTGTGTGTGTGTGTGTGTGTGTGTTCATCACATTTGTAATAAAATCCACATCTTCCATAATTTATAACTGCCTGCCACCCAAACAGAAGAAAATATACTGTAGAAAAAAAGTAGTAAGTAAAAAAAAAAAAAAAAAAGTAAGAAAAAAGTTTAGTTTAAACTTAAATCTGAAAGATTATTTTAGCTTCAAGTTGTAAGCCTTGGAAACGATCTCAGGTGCTAATGATGGCAAAATCTGCAAAATGAAAGCTTTGTTTCATTCACCGCTGCCAGAATTCTCTTCATGAAAATCATAGCATTGAAGGAATTTGTATTGACCTAGAATGCACATCTGATCGGTCTTGTCAATTAACCAAAAAAAATTTCTTCTTCGAAAAAGCATTTTTAACATAGCTGTTGGTTTTTCATTATAAAACGCTTACTAAATCTTAACTTGTCCTGTGGAAAATTATTTGTGACTGCTTTCTTCAATTTATTATTTGACAATTTATGTTATAATATATGGGAAATGTGTGTGTGAGAGTATACAGATATCTGTATACATTTTTTAAAGCGAGAAGTTTTTAAGAGATTACAGAACAGAAAGAAGGAATGCAAGATTCAAAACACGGGTGCCCTTGGGGCACCTGGGTGGCTCAGTGGGTTAAGCCTCTGCCTTTGGCTCGGGTCATGATCCCAGGGTCCTGGGATCGAGCCCCGCATCGGGCTCTCTGCTCAGCAGGGAGCCTGCTTCCCTTCCTCTCTCTCTGTCTGCCTCTCTGCCTGCTTGTGATCTCTCTCTGTCAAATAAATAAATAAGAATCTTTAAAAAAAAAAACAAAACAAAACACGGGTGCCCTTGAATGACAACTACTCACCAGAAAACGGACCATATTGTTGTAATTTCATTGCAAACAGACGTCCATTCTGTGTTATGTGGGCGACCTTCAAATGAGAGGACTCTGTAGAAGGCCAAGGACACAAAACCACAGGAACCTTTGGGGCGTGTCCTCAAGGTAGTAAAAACAAAGGTACTGGGTATCTGGAGAACTGGCCATGCATTTTCTTTCTCTGCTTCAGAATGTGGCAATGACATGTGTTCAGGGACTTAGGCCAAATGGTTTTTGAAGTTTTATGAAGCACTGAACATGACATGGTAAGGTTTAGCACGTTTACAAACACATTCTGAACTATTTACATCTCAATCTATATAAAAATAAAACTGTGAACAGCTGGACAAGAGCACTGATCCACTCGCCGAACTTTTTTCCAGGTTCCTTGACATCGAGGATTGCCGATGGCTTGCCAATGGAGAGTCTGATTTCTGAAATGGTATTTTGGAAAGTGTTAGTTATGCTAAAAGCAAACCAAAAAGAATTCTAATTTATAGAATCATAAATTGAGGTGTTTTATTGTTCAAAGAATGATCATACCTGGAGTTTTGAAGTGCATTAAAAATTGAAATTTAAAAAAAAATGATCACAAACTGAGTTTCCCTTCTTAGGGGCTCCATCAAAACAAGTTACAAGTTAGTCTCTATTTGAGGATACCTTCTTGTGGAGAGAGCAGTTTGAGGTTACTGTATTCATTTCTCCCACTTGATCCGAATATACGAAGTGTTACATAAAGGAAAATGGCTCCCTGCTTCATGTATATTCAAATTAGAGGGGTCTGCCCAAATGACCTCTTGTAATCCTGAACTCCTTGATTCCATAATGAAAAAACGGGAGAAGCGGGAAGAGCAAAGGCAGATTGTTGAAATTATTATTTTTAAATTTATTGGAACCTCAGCCAGGGTTTAAGGGGCTTTCTGAGTACAAATTCAATTATAAATTCATTTAAAGACAAAATATGGGTGAGAAATTCAGAAAAATGTTAAGTCTCAAGATTGGTTTCTATTTGATAGGAATGTCTTACCTACTTTACTGTTCATGTGGTGTACTCCTTACAAAGTTTATTAGGCACAAGTGACTAATAAACATAAATTCAAGTTATTAAATATTAAAATACACTAAGGGAATGACAACTAGCTGGAAAGGTCGGTATTTTACTTCCTAATCTGTATTTCTACCAGTTCCACCTAACATACTTAAAACCATAATCCGTGTGTGACTGAAATTGGTCTTTGTCTAATAGCTGACAAGCATGAAGTCCTCTCTTAGGAAGAGTGTTATTACCAGATTTAACTGATAAATGAATACAGGATTGGAACAGATTTTTCAGGGTAAAAAAAAGTTTTGAGGGTCAATTCTTTTGGACAATCTATAGATTTCTGTAGGTTTCTGATCCTGCAAAGCTGAGCCCACCACCATCTCAGTCATGGTTCTAGGATGCCCCCCCACTCCCCATTGGGCAGTGGTTCTGAAACAATGCTGTGGGAGTAAACCATCTGGGCAGGGGTCAGCAAGCCACAACCCATGGGCCAAATCCAACCCACCCTTTGTTTTTGTGTGGTCTGTGAGTTAAGAATGGTTTTTTGTTTCTTAAAGAAAATCGATGGAAGAATATGTCATGACACATGAAAATTACATGAAATTCAAATATTAGTGTCCACAGATACAATATTGTTAGAAAAAAGCCAGTTCACCTGTTCACGCAGTGTCTGTGGCTGCTTTCATGCTATGATGGCAGAGTTGAGTAGTGAGACCATATAGCCCACAAAGCAGAAAAATCTATCTGCCAACTCCTGACCTAGAAGGTGGTTAAAAATCCACCCCCAGGGGCACCTGCGTAGCTCAGTTGGTTAAGCGTCAGCCTTTGGCTGTGGTCATGATACCAGGGTCCCGGGATGGAGTCCCACATCAGGCTCCTTGCTGAATGGGGAGCTTGCTTCTCCCTCTCCTCCCTGTCCATGCTCTATCTCTGTCTCTCTCTCTCAAATAAATAAAATCTTAAAAAAAAAAAACAAAAAAACCAGACCAAAGATTCTGATTCACTTCATCTCAAGTGGGGTCAGGAATGTGTGTGTGTGTGTGTGTGTGTGTGTGTATGTGTGTGTATATATATATATATATACACATATATATATATGTGTGTATATATATATATACATATATATATATATGTGTATATATATATGATCTTTTATTTATGAGAGAGAGAGAGAGCATGAGTAGGGGGAAAGGGCAGAGGAAGAAGGAAGGAAGAAGGAGAAGCAGATTGCCCCACTAAGCAGGGATCCCCAATGTGGGGCTTGATCCCAGGACCCTGAGATCATGACCTGAGCTGAAGGCAGTCGCTTAACCAACTTAGCCACCCAGGGGCCCGAGGAATCGGAAAATTTTAATTCATCATCCCAAAAGGTTCTGATTCAAGTGGTTTTCAAAACACTGCTTTGGAGTGATCAGGTTTTCAATGGTCATTCGGGAGCATGATATGAACCCCAACATCCAAATTTACCCAGTCATCTCTGCTATAGAGCCTCTGGGTCCCATCGTGTAAACTGGGTCCTGGATTCAGGACTTGCTAGACAGAGGATTCTCCTGACTTGGTGTTCTGACTCCCGACTCATGCCCTGATAAGCTACATCATGGTCTGCTGTTCAAGAGAAGACAGATGTGTGTCAACGGAAAATAAGAAAAGTCCTTCAGCCGATGTCTCTCCCTCACCCATCTGAGTCCAGGCCATCTCCGGAACAGCGAAGGCTCACAGAGTTCATGGCTGGGGGCTGACAATCGACGCACACCGTGTACCCCTCTCGGAGATACTGCATCCATCGAGTCAGGGGGCGGTTTTCCAGAGCGCAGTGAGGAGTCAGGGACTCCGTCTTGAACTCCATACAGTATCTAGAGCAAAAACACAGGACACTTGCACAGGCTGTAATGAGAGAGAGCCTAACGCTGTAAAAGGTCTCAGGAAGCCCGCAACCCCCGAGGACACTGGACAGACGGGAGGAGGTGGTGAGCGCATCTTCGTAGCCTGGCCACCCTCACAGGACGCCCTGTCGAGTTTCTCATTTGCGGAACTTCGATGATGGACGATGCCTGACGGGCAACTGCCGTGAGGCTTGGGGCTCTTCTCCCATCCATGATGGAACTACGTGGTCAACGTGAGTTGGCAGAAATCGGGATAGCCTGTTTCCTACCTCATCTGACAACCAAATTATGTATAAAAAGCACATTTCAGTAGGAAAATTCCCCTTAATAACTTTGCTGGTAAAGAAAAATAGAAATAGAATAAGAACTTGCTTGAGTCTGGAGTCTGAGACCATGTGAGCCCCTGGAGGGCTGGTCCTCAGTGTCCTGCCCAGCCCCCGAGACGTTCTGCCTCACGGATGCTCCCAGGGGCTTGCCCCATGCTCCCCAACTCGCTCACCTGCGTGATCTGGGCTAATGATGAGTTGGAAACTTGAATCCAAGCATCAAAGTTCTACTGGGCCTCAGAGATAAAGGGAAATGGGAAGCTGGAGACATTTTTCTGTGACGGAAGCTAGTGTCACCTTACACGGAACTGTGGAAATCTCTAGCACCATAGTGACTAGACTCTGAAGGCCCGGGGGGAGCATCCAGACATGGTTGACTACTTTAGAGTCTTGTACTAAAAAGCAACATAATTTTAAAATTCTTCAGGGAAGTAAAGCATAGTAAAACTCCTGCACGTTGTGTTTTTGGTTCTAATTAAGCTCCAACGGACTAGTTTCTTATCTCTAGAATTATGAGCTGTCCCAGGTTAGACGGAAAGCCATTGGAAGGTCTGCTTCCGTGAGCTTTAACAGCAGTAGGCCAGTTTAGGTCCTGAGGTAGGAAATTCTATGTCGAAGCTTCAATCAACTTTAGCCAGACAGCTTAACCCAGACGTCTCTTCATCATTCTCTCATTAAATTCTCCTTACAATGCCATGTGCTAGGCATTCATATTCTCATTTTTCAAGAAGAAAAACTGAGGTGGGACAACATATCCAAGGTCTTACGGCTAGTGTGTGGCAGTGGGGGGATCCGAACAGGCAGCTTCCTGGGGTCCTTCTGCTGACGGCTGAAGAGGGGACTTCCAGGTAAGCATGGAGGTCCCCCCCAGGCTGTGCCTTCTGTCCTGACAGAAATCCTCAGAGCTGACGTGTGGGCCACTTTCAAATTAGCCAAACACAGGTGGTGCTAGAGTCCATGTTCTCCTAATGACTCTAAGAGGGACATCCTGAGTACGACTGATAAAGTGATACGATCCTTTTACATAGCGGGTTTCCTGTTGAGGGGACCCTCAGAGACAAACCTTTGTAGCCGCACAAAAACAGGGAAGAAACAAGTAGGTCCCAGCTCTGTGGTAAAGGGTCACATTTTACCCAAAGTCAACGAGCAAGTAACAGAAGAAACGCCACCACACCAAGACGAGCTTTGTGGGCTGACTTGGCCACGCCCCCTGGAAAAGCATACATTGAAAAAACCAAACCAAACTATACAAAACAAAAACACCAAATTACCCAGTGTCCTCTGTGTCTGTAGACCACCGTGGAGATGCGGCTTGTCTTGTTCTCTCCTTGTTGAACGCAGAGGTAGTTATAAAGGCAGGGACTAGGAAAGAGAGAAGAGCATCGGACACATGCAGCCTAAAGTACTCGCAGTGACCTTTCCCAAACTTGGTGTTGATCCTGTCTCGAGCCCCCCAAACCCTGAGTGCAACGGGCCACGGCACCCCACCAGGAATGGGACGGGGCCCAGTTACCGTGTCCCCAGAACCCAGTTCAAAGAAGATTTGTGTGCACGCCGATGGGCGGGGAGAACTGCAGACCTCTGACAGGTAGGCTTGTCCTTGGTAATAAGTTGACACTGTGTGAAAGGGGAGGATGGGGGGCCCGGAATAAAAACCAAGAGGAAGTAGTGAAAGATGCTGCTAAGTCAGGGGGAAAAGGGGGGGAATGGAGAAAGGGAGAGATGTTTTTTTTTTCTTTTTCCTTTTTAAAGAATGTATTTATTTATTTGACAGAGAGAGAGGCAGCAAGAGAGGGAACATAAGCAGGGGGAGTGGGAGAGGGAGAAGCAGGCCTGCCATTGAGCAGGGAGCCTAATGCAGGGCTCAATCCCAGGACCCTGGGACCTTGACCCCTGCCACAGGCAGAAGCTTAATGACTGAGCCACCCAGATGCCTCGGGAGAGAAGGTTTTTAAAGATGAAAGGAAGAGAAATAGAAGGGAAAAGAGAAAAACAGGAAGAATAAAGTAAAAGAATAGGAGGGAGAAAGGACAGAGGAAGAAGACAAGAGAGAGGGAAATGAGGATGTAAAGAGAAAAAACAAAAAACAAAAAACGAGCAGAGAGAGAGGAACTGTAACAAGGCGAAAGCTGAAGTACCAAGGAAGGTGGTGTGAGTCCCCCAGTCCCTCCCAGGTCCTCAACACCCCGCCCCGGAAGCTTCCCTGACTGCCATGTGGCCTCAGGGTGACTGCCTGGAGCCAGCCAGCACAGAATCCCCCCCACGCCAACCCTCAGCCTCGGGGAAGGAGTCAGGTTGGTCCTCTCCTCCCTGTCCCCAGCCCCAGTCCCAACTCCAAAGCTCCGGACCAGACAGAGGAAAGGGAGCCAGAAATCCCCCATCTGTGCTCTCTTTTTCACTGACTTTGTGTGTCTCCTTCCTGTTTGCCGCTCAGTGTGGGGGTGTGGGGAGGCATGTGATGCTAGGTATGGTACTGCACCTGGAGATGACCTCCCAGTGCGGTCTGCTGTCAGCTCAAGGAAGGCAGGGTTTGCCCTGGTCATCACCATGGTCCTCACACATTGGCACACGCAGTAAGCTCGTAGGCAACGTATGGCGGCTCAATGAAGTCACGGAATTGCCACCAAGCCACACGGGTCCTACCTCTCTGTGTTCTTCTGTTCCCACAGTGAGCCCTGTGGCCGAGACGGCTCAGCCATCTTTCCTACCTTTTGTTTCAGAAACTGGACCGTCCCAGGAAGGGTAGGGGCCAACTGATGTTGGCTTGTGAGCTGCCCACACCATCATCCACCTGAGCAAAGTGGCCAGAGGATCACCAAGCAGATGGGCCGAGCCTACGCGTTCATTTGACCTGGCTGCTTACTGGCTCCTTACGGCCACAAGATGGCAGCCCGGATTCTTTTTTAGATTTTCTCAGGGAGGCCTTTTGCTAAGACCGGAGCATGTAAGACCCGAGTGGCTGAAAAACGGGTAGCCACTGCTCCTGTGAATTGCAGGAATCCTTCTGGTCCTACGTGGTTTGGTGCTTAATCTCTTCGGTGTCAAAATTACTCACATCCAGCATAAGAGTCGAGGCCGTGAGACTCTTCCTTGCTGCACTCACACGTTTAATCGTTTCCCAGAGAACATGCCATTCCTTCTCAACGGGACCGTAGCTTTGGGAACTCCCAAACCCGTGGACAGAATCAGAAAGAACGAGGGAGCACATATATGTTAGGAACTCGCTGTTTTCTCTTAGCTCTGATTCTCTGGAACACAAACGTCGAGGGGATTTTAGCTTTCCCACGTATATGCCTCCATTCCTGTTCTTCTGACACATTTAGGAAGTCATTCAGTATGTGAAGAATACAGTTGCCGCTCAGTCCATGTGGCGTCGGACCAGCCAAACTATGAAATTTTCAGGATGTGTTTCTTTAGCTCAAAACATATATCTGATCTCCTTATTTGTACGGCATCTATTATTACAGAAGTTCAAATGCAACGCACTTAGTACATAGCTCGGGGCGGGGAAGGGAAATGAGGTTAGGAGGGAAAGGGCAGTATGTGACTGTAATATCTGATATAAAATCCTCAGAAAAAGTTCTATAGTAATAATAAGCTCTATAGTAATAATATAATATAGTTATAAATATATAATATAATATATACTATATTATAATATAATTATATTTATAATATAATATAATAATAATAATGAAACTAGCAATGATACGCTTCTAAGTTTCCAGGCATAATGCTAAGCACCTTTCACGTGTGAATGCATTTAATTCTTACAACAACCCTCTGGGATAGGAACTATTATTTCCCCATTCCACAGATGAGGAAATTGTGGCACAGAGAGGTGAAGGAACAGGTTCAAGGCTCCCATCTAAACACAGCGGTGTTAGGTGTTATCTCTAAAACCATGCTCCTCACTGCCTGGAGACTCTTGCAAAGTGAACCACAATGTTTCATTGTTTTACACAGCATATTTCCTATGGATTGCTTAAATGCTGTTTTATTTTCCCTTTCTGGTCCTACTGTGTCCCTAATATAACCTAACTTTAAAAGAATAAAAGGGAGGGGCACCTGGGTGGCTCAGTGGGTTAAAGCCTCTGCTTTCCGCTCAAGTCATGATCTCAGGGTCCTGAGATCGAGCCCCACATCGAGCTCTCTGCTTGGCGGGGAGCCTGCTTCCCCCTCTCTCTGCCTACCTCTCTGCCGATTTGTGATCTCTCTCTCTGTCAAATAAATAATAAAAATCTTTAAAAAAAATTTTAAAAATAATAATAAAAGGGACATCATAAGGCCCCCCCCCCCCGGGAGAGGGGGAGGGCTGGGATGGGGCCTGGGGTCCCCAGGATAGGGCAGCTGCTCACGGTGGGCACAGAGGAATGCCTATTAGGACAGCGCCTTGTATGTTTCCAGCCTGCTTCTTTACAAAGTACTTTCTCATCATCTGTGACTGGTCTCCACAAAAAAACTTTGTGAAGAAGTGCCCTGATGAGATGTTCTCAGAAAGCTGAGGCTCAAAGACATTAAAGGAAAGGAAATTAAAAAAAAAAAAAAAGATTAAAGAAAGGGAAAATTCACAGTAAATGATGAAGCAAGGACCTCAACACAAAAGACTGCTTCTGGTTTTTCTATCTACTCTCCATGTTCAGCGTCAAGCCTCTGCAGGTAGGACCCATCCTAAAAGCCAACCAGTAACCCTGGGCCTCGTGTCTTCTGTGTCCTGCCCCTTGAGCTCTGGCTTGGCTCGGTGGCAAGGAGGAGGAGGCACTTCCTCCTTGAACGAATTTCTACTGAGAGGAGGCACTTCCTCCATGAACGAATCTTCAGAAACGAGACCAGCAGCCAGATTGCCTGGGGGTCTCTGAGCCAGCATGACTTTTTAATATCTCCCCCAAATTTAATTTCCATTACTTAAGAGTGGTAAGTAATTTAGAATTATTTTTGCCTTCAGTCCCACTGCTGCTTATGTGTGGAAGAACATAGTCGGGTGCCCGGGGACAAAGGCTCACAATAAAAGCCAGTTCCCCCGCCTTCCCCTTTCCTGGCAACAATATCCAGATGTAATAGATTCTTTTTTAAGAGGCCATTTGCCAACTTTCCTGGCGTCCTATCAGCCTGGCATTGTTCGGTTTTACAGCAACTACACTTCTAAAAGCGTGGCACCGTGCATACTTACTTTGAACATGAAAGTAAATTGAATTTGCTTAGGGAATTTCATAAAAAGTTCTCTGGCACAATGGGGTGTCACCAAGGCAGGCTCAGAACCACTGTTCTGTAGATACAGTGTAAAAGGGAACAGAATGAAAATGTGACAACACCAGCCCAGAAGCATACAGCTTATGATACACATCGATCTCCTTTTAGGAGGAGTCAGAATGTACAACTAATACAATAATAGGGCTTTTTGGACTTGTTTTTACAGTAAGCATAGAGTTAAGATCTGCATTAAAGGAAATGCGAAAAATTCAATAGCTACTTTATCGTTAATAAGAGAGAGTCAGTGATCCTGTTTCATTCACGGGACTCACAGAGAGCCTTTCTATTTCTACTTAGTTACCAGAACCTGAAATTGCAATTTTAGCTCTAATGGTAACAAGAGCAGCAAAGCAATATCAAGACAGAAAATCCCACAGGATTTAGAGGCTGAGATCCAGGGTTGGATTCTGGAAGTCCTTTACAAATGCTGTCACCTGGGGCGCCTGGGTGGCACAGTCGGTTAAGTAAGCGGCTGCCTTCGGCTCAGGTCATGATCCCAGGGTCCTGGGATCGAGCTGCGCACGTCAGGCTCTCTGCGCAGCAGTGAGCCTGTTTCTCCCTCTCCCTGCCTCTCTGCCTACTTGTGTTCTGTCTGTCAAATAAATAAATAAAATCTTAAAAACAAAACCAAAAACAAATGCTGTCACCTTCCTGAGCTCCAATGTCCTCTTGGTTTCAAGGATAATGAGGCAGTCCCCTTTTCCAGGTAAGCAGGATACTGGCCCCTCAAAGATTTCCGCATCCTAATCCCCAGGACCTGTGAATATGTTATTTCATAAGGAAGAATTAAAGTTGCAGATGGAATGAAGGTTGCTACTCGGTTGGCCTTAAAATGGGGAGACGATCCTGGCTTTTCTCGGTGGGCTGAGTATAATCACGTCCTTCAAAGAGGAAGAGGAAGGTGTTACTACAGAAGAAAGCTGAGATGCAATGTAGCTGGATGTGAAAAGGGAGGAGGGGCCATGAGGAGAGAAACTGTGACCCTCTCTGGATGATGGAAAGGGCAGGGAACTGGATTCTCCCCTCCCCGAGCCTCCCCAAGAGCAATGCAGCCCTGCCAACACCCTGATTTTAGCCCAGGGATACCTGGGTTGCACTTCTATCCCACGGAACCCTAAGATAACAAATTTGAGTTGTTTTCAGCTACAACGTCTGGGTTCATTTGCGACAGTAGCCATAGGAAGCGAATACGCTGTCCTATAGGATGGCTATGAGCACTGAGTCAATAATGTCGGTCAAAGCTCTCCACCCCGCAGCTGCGAGGGACTGCTCAGCCGTGCACCCAAGTCTCCTGCTCGGGGAATAGAAATCTAGTGGAGCCGGGAGGTGGTCACCGGTGACCACACAGCCGGACTGAGAGCTCCCAGTGGAAGAAGGGGCCCCTTCTCCGTGTCTCCACACAAATCCGCTCGCTCCTCACCCTGAGCTAGAATTAGCTGATAGGCTTGGTACTCGAGTTTGATCTCCAGAACCCAGCATAGCGCTGGCTGTCGAAGATGCTCAGTGAACTTTAAATGAATGACCCATGTCAATGAATGCGTGGGAATTGCGGTGACACGGGTGAGACAGGGCTCAGGGCGATCCACCACTTCCCTACTCTCATTTCCCTCTCGTTGTCCATCGTTTTCCCAGGTGTCTTCCACAGAACACTAGTTACTCGGTGAGATCCCCTGGGAAAAGGGGTCATTTAATCAAGGAAGGTGGGAAAGCATCCCATATCCTATCTCCCTCTTGTAGAATGAAAATGCTTATCAGCATATTAAAGCCTCTGAGAAGGTCTTCCTTAGAGAAGACAGTCTGATTTACCCCATGTTTTCCTGACTAAACCCCTGTTTTGCATTTGGGAGCTTCTGCCCTCGGGAAAGTGGCATGTGAGGGATCCAGCTATGAGTCGGGGCTGAGGGAAGGACGGTGCAGACACACCCAGGCTAGAGCAGTTCTGGAGCTTTGGTGAGCAGCAGAGTCCCCTGGACGCCTGGATACAAGCACAGTGCTAAACCCAGCACCAGCGAACCCGACCTTGTGGGTCTGGGTGGGGCCCAAGGAACTTGGTTTTCTAACAATTTCCCAGCTGAGGACAACGCTGCTGGCCAGGGACCACCATTTAGGAACCACCAGATTGGAATATTCGAGGGATCCTGTCTTCCCTGCCCAACTTGTGACAGCAGCCATCATTTCCACAGCATTACCACAGGAGAGTGCATCTCAAGAACCAAAATCAGGGCTGCAAATGCTGGTCCTCAGTCCCCAAGGAGAGAGTTCGCCTCTCTTCCCAAACTAGATTTTACCCAACCTTATTAGGAGAGGTGGAGGCTGAGTACAGATCTCTCCTGTTGGTGTTATTGCTAAGTCACTAACACCTTGTGGGGAGTCACCTATGAAGACTGCTGCCTTATGTGGAGTTTGGTGGGAGGGGTGGGTGAGAGGGGTAATTTAGGAACAGGAGGACAGGCCCAGGGGGTTTGCCCAGAGGAGAGAGGAGGACAGCTCCAGACAGAGACCAGAACCCTAGAGGGGGTGGGGGGGGTAGGGGAGTGTAGGGTGTGGGCCCAGTGCTCTCTGGTGTCCTTGCCCCATGTTCCATAGCATTCTCTCATTGACCTTCCTATCCCTTTTCCTGTGACCTGCATTAGGCTATTATAAAGAGATACTCAGACTGCAAAGCGGGTCTGTGACAGCCTGGAGTAGCACTGAAGAGTCAAATGTACTTAAGAGGGACCTTCTAGCAGCCAGACTCCATAGATGAGCAAAGTAGCTGCTTCCCGATGGATCAACTACAGGTTTTAAGAGTCATCCAAAAAATCAGTAATGGCCTCCAGTGACTTCCTTCCCAATAGCCTTTTTGTTGTGCTCTGTTGAAGACATGAGCTGACCCTGGTTTTGTTCCATGACTGTTTCTGTGAGCACCGAATTACTTCCCTGGGAGCCCACAAGACACCTCCCTGCCCCCTCAGCCCTTCCATTAGCCACGCCCCTACCACAGCCACAGTTTCAAATCTCAGATTGGACCACATGAGAAAATGCTACAGTGGTTCTCCAGGGTTCGTAAGATAAAGACCAAAATCCTAAACAGAGAGCGGGATGGCTGCTTCCCCTCTCAATGCCAGCCCCACTCTCTGCGCTCCCCAGATTCTAGCCTTCCTTCAACCTCTCAAAGGGGCCTTTGCTTCCCCACCATTAGAGAGATGAGTCAAAGACGGTCTCTAGGTCGTTGACTTCCCCCACAGCAGGCTGACAACTGTTAGCTCCAAAGCCCACTGGCGGCAAACTCAAATTTTTATGCATCCAAATTGTTCTCTTTTTTTTTAAAGATTCATTTGTTTATTTTGAGAGAGAGAGAGAGAGAGTGTGTGTGTGTGTGTGTGTGTGTGTGTGTGTGCTTGAGTGAGCATGGGGAGAGGGGCAGAGGGAGAGAGAGTCCTAAGCAGACTACCCGCCTTCTCCCTCATGAGCACAGAACCCCATGGGGGGACTCGATCCCGCGACCCTGAGATCAGGACCTGAGTGGAAACCAAGAGTCAGCCCCTCCAGCAACTGAGCCACCAAGATGCCTCCCAAATTGTTTTAAAACTTGCCAAACAAGCAGATTTTTAGCCATTTGGGCCCTGCCTGCTTTACCTACCCTGTGAAACTATAACTGGCACCTGCTGGCCATTGATGAGCTAAAAAGTCTGGGAGCTGTAAGACCCCAAGCTGCTACCACTCTTGGCCTTGGACACTCTGACCCAGAGACTCCCAACTATGCTGCCTAGTTGCCATCCCCTAGACACATAGCTGCTAGAAGATTCCTCTCCTCCGCCTCTGGATGGTCAGGCCACAGCCTCTGGACTTCCCTTTCTCACGCAACTCCATCCAAGCACCACCCAAAAAGGCTTATTGGGCGTTACAGCCTCTGTGGTCCTGTTTTTCCCACATCAACCCCAAATTCCTCGAACCTCTCTACCTGACTACCTGGTTCACCATGCAAATCTCTGGAAAGTTCTACACTTCACAGCCTTACCTGTCCCTCCTTAGAGAAGTCCCTTCCCTTCTCCACCCCTGTGGCTCCCCTCCTCCCCCAAGACCAGGGGATATCAACTTATTACACACACTCATAGCTCCAAACAACTCACTTGTTCAAGACCAGTTGCACCAAATTGCAGTGGTAATTTTCTGGGACCGATTTCCTAAGATAATCGATTATCAACCTCCCCATTCTCCCCCATCCACCCCCCATCTGCATGACAGCAGGCTCCCATCAGCTTATGTCACCAAAGTAACCCTGGCACCCAGCTCAGTGCCTGGCAACCAGTAGATGCTCAATAAATATTTGTGCATAGAATGGGGGGGCGGGAGGAGCAAAATGGCTTGACGAGTGTCATGTTGGCATAAAAATTTCCAGTTTCCTATGAAAAACATATGGCCTTTGTTATCCAGAGAAGTCAATGTTTTTACTCTATCAGGTTCAACGTAGATCAACACCTTGGTGCTGGCCTTGATGCTTATTTCTTTGTGAGCTTTGTACAGCTCCTGACTCACCCATCGGTGGAATTCTGGCCCCTCCACCGGCCACTCCACAACCAGAATGATCTTTTCAAATCACAGATCTGATCACATCAACCCCACTGCAGTCAGGTGGAGAGGAGGAGTTGTTTTATGAAAATCATTTATCACTGCTTGGGAATTAATCATTTTTCTATTAGCTTCCCACGTGTGTGATGAGCCTTCCTGACTACACAGGCATTAAAGGAGCAAGATGAATAGTTACCTTATGGACACTTACTATCCGGTGTGAAATACTGTCATCCTACCTACAGTCCTTTGCCGCCAGCTTGAGTTGGCTAAACATCCCGACGCACGCGCCCTTTCCACCAAGCCCAAGCACAGAAGCGGGGACCACCCCGGGGTTAAGAACGCCCCGACCCCGGAAGGCTGGAGCAGGGAGGCCCTGATGCCGCGGACACTCCTTTATCAAGCATTTCCTGAGCTTCCTGTCGGCTCTGGGCGAACCGGCCCATCCCACTCCCCCGCCGCGCGCACGGAACTTTCCCCGCTCGACACAGGGCCTTTCATGGGGAGGAAGAGATGGAAAACCAACACAGACAACAGAGGCGGCCGCGGCGAAGCCCTCCGTACCGAAGGAGTGCCCGCAGCCCTGGCCCTGGGGCGTCGAGTAGTCCAGGCAGCCGGCTCTCTCCTCCAGGGGCGGGCAGGGCGCGCCGCCGTTCCGGGGCTCCTGCTGCACCTGGCGCCTCCGCACGCGGGCCGCGGGCTTGCACTGGTCGGCGCAGCCGCTCCAGGGGCTCCACTCCCCCACGATGCACGGGCGAGCTGAAAAACAGCACGGCGGGATGGGACGCTCACCTGGGTAAACCCAGCCGCCTGCCAGGCAGCTCCCGCCAACATCAACAGTCGGGGTTAGCCCACGCACGCTGCGCTTTGACTGCGCCCTGCATCGGAGCCGGGGCACAGTCTCTGCAGGGCTCGGTGGGCAGGGACCCCCCACCCCCACCCGGCTCCGCCCGGACGGGGTAGCTGATAACCCGCCCCTCTCCGAGCCAGACAGGCAGCTCTTCTGGGGTCATGAAGGTGGGTGTCAGCCAGGGGCACAGCCCAGTTAAGAGAGTGACGCCTTTGGGTACTTCCTCATACTCTGTGGGCTAAGATAAGATCTTTGCTCTTTCATTTCCTTGATTTTAAGTTTATCCCGCCCTGCTCGGAACATTTTTATTTTAACAGTAATAGGTATTCATTGTGGAAAAACGTCAAGGGAAAAAAAAATGTAAAAGAAAATGCCCATCACTTTTTATCCTCAAAGGTGTCCCTCCATCAGACCTGGTTAGGGCCACACTGAGGGACCTCTAGACTTGGGACTTCCCTTCCGCGTTCCATTCTCATCCTCCACGGCTCTTAGGCCCCCTAGACCAGGATAGCTGAAGTTTGCAGGAAGGCAACCAGAGCCCACAGAGGAAAAGAGTACAAACGGTCAGGCATGAAGGGGCAGAGTCCGGGGCAAGAATTTGGCAATTCTCTGGCCATGACTGGAAAATCTCTGTGGTTGCATTTTTAACTTTCCCATTCAAAGTCCTAACAAACCTTTTAAAAGGACTATAATGAGTTTTTCAGTGGAATTATTTCAGGACTTCAGATTGTTTATAAGAACGAGAGTAAGAAAACAAAAGATGTGCCTCCGAACTAGAGGCCCAGATAATTCCCTTCCCACGAAATGTGATCCACTTTCTCTACCATCCTCATACTTTCCAGCTTACGGAGTCTTCACCAAGAAAGCACTCTAACCTCTCTGAAATCTTGACTTGGACTTCTGACAGCTTGTACTTGAAAACTCATTTGACCTCTCAGCACACTCTCTTTGGGGTTCATGGATTTTGAAAGACCCATCTTTTGGCAGCACGCAGCTCACCCTGACACGAAGAGGGTCCCACACAACATGAACATTGGTCAGTAATTCAAAAACCGCAGACTGTTTTAAACCATGCTTCTATTAATCATCTAAAAACTCACAGGCATCCCACGTCAGGTAGGGAAGGAAGCAAGAGACTTGGAACCTGAGACTTATCACCTGTACCTGCCATGCGCACATCCATTGGAAAATCAGTAACAGGCCACTTCCTGCTCTTGTCCTTTCTTGTGGATCCCTCCCATTTTCATGATCTCCGTTGGGCCCTAGAGCCAGAGGCACTGAAAGAGACTGCCTGCTGGGCTAGGAGCTGGCTGAGAAGCATGCATTCTGTCCTTAAGTCTTCAACAACTCTCTGTTACCAATCTCTTCATCCCTGAGCCTAGTTAGTCTTGCCATGATGTGTTGACCTTTAACAACACTTACTAATATGCTTTAAAAAAACAAAATGGGACACTTATTTCATAGATCAACATTGGACACCACCCTGAAATACAGTTTTGTCATGGCATTAACTCAGAATTTAGTAATATGGCCTCGGTTTGAATACACGCTATCCATATGGTAAAAGATCATACTGGGGACAGTTTTCTGACAGAATTTAGTTTCCCGGTATTTCTTCAGCATTTGTATCTCACATGCAATGTTTATTTATTTTATTTGGTTTGCCCCCCAGTTAACATCCTCAAATCACGGAATCACTGAATCAGTTGTTTTTCCTATCAGTTAACGTTTGACCTTGGAAAATGCTATGTTTCATATTTTCTTCCTTTTTTAAAGATTTTATTTATTTATTTATTTGTCAGAGAGAGTGCACAAGCAGGCAGAGTGGCAGGCAGAGGCAGAGAGAGAAGCAGGCTCCCTGCTGAGCATGGAGCCCGATGTGGGACTCGATTCCAGGATCCTAGGATCATGACCTGAGCCAAAGGCAGCAGCTTAACCGACTGAGCCACCCAGGCGTCCCTGTTTCATATTTTCAATCCATGACTTTAACAGCCTCATAAAGAAAATCAAGGAAGTTCTGGGTCCTGAGCGTCATCTTGACAGCTTCATTATAAAACAAAATGAAAAATACTTCACAAAGAATTATACAAATATAAGGGGATTCCACAAAATATTTTGAGTCGGAAGGCAAATCTGAGGTATTTATTCCTATTCTGCACAAAAGATTAAATTCATGATTGCGAACTTCTAATTGTTTGCAGTGCAATTCGTCATAGATCACAAGAGATCTTTGGCCGCAGAGGCCAGGGGAAGTACAGGAACTTCTGACAGATTTATCATCTCAAGTCATATATTACAGCTGCCTGACACACATTTCCTTCGAATTATTCCATTAGTATTCACATCTATAGCCAGTGTGTCAAAATATTCTTTCTTAAAATCTGACTTTCTCAATCTTCACATTTCCCTAGTTATCACTGGAGGCCAGTAGACCTAGTGAGCAACATGATCATTCCTGACTCCAAGTTTGTCACAGTTTCCCAATGTCCTAATGGTAGGATTTAATGACATCATCCCACCCCTTTTAGGAAAAAAAAAAGAAGCTTAAGTTTCACGGATGCCAGGATGCTCCATGAATGGTGGTTTTCTTTTTTCCTGTTTAAACTCAATGTAATATTCAGGTGGAGTTTCCCAGAAGCAGACTCTGGGACATGTATTTCTTTCTCTTTTTTTTTTTTTTTGTAAGATTTTTATGTATTTAATTGACAGAGGGAGACACAGCAAGAGAGGGAACAAGCAGGGGGAATGGGAGAGGGAGAAGCAGGCTTCCCTAGGAGCAGGGAGCCCAATGTGGTGCTCCATCCCAAGACCCTGGGAACATGACCTGAGCCAAAGGCAGAGGCTTAATGACAGAGCCACCCAGACACCCCTGAGATGTGGATTTCAATGCAAGTAATTTATTTGGGAGGTGGTCCCAACAAGTGTAATAAGAGCAGAAATAGAGACGTAGACACAGAAGAGAACATAGACATAGATCCCTAAGTTCCTGCTTTAGGCCCACTGGGCACGTCTGGCTCTCCACTCACTAGGACATGAGATAATGGATATAGGCAGAGGACAAGGAATTATCAAGTCCTTTCTGAAGTTCTGGCTAGTCCCCCCTCCTCAACAACTTTCTGGTTATCATATGTCCCTACCACAACCAAAAGGAGAATGGCCAACAAGGGGAAATAAGTCATATATTTCAGTAGGGAATCTGCCCAAAGCAAGAGTAGAGCCCACTTTCTCATGTCCTCACAGGAATAGCCAGTCATATCAAAGTATAATTACCTTAAAAGATTTTACACTAAGCTTTAAAAATATAATAATAATAATAATAATAATAATAAATGGCTTTTTAAACTCTCTCAGTGCATTGCTGTTGAATTTGAAATAAAATCAAATTCAATAAATCAATAAATATTTGTCGAATGAATGAATGAATCAATGAATGAAATGTCATTGGACAAATTCCTCCTCCTTCCAAAACAAATTTTCTACATTGAAACAGATTTTGGTTTGCTCATATCATTAGTTAGAAGCCAAAGCACTAAGGCTCCAGAGTGGGAAAGGGAAGCTCGCTGAAGGACAGGAGCAAAATCAGAAAATCCCGGAGCCAAAAGTATGGGAATTCTTAACCTGGGCGAGAGCTGTCTGGGCTCTCCCGGCAACGGTGGCCCCAAGGAGTGTCCTGGAAAGGACCATGGCTTTCTGTGCCTTCAGGTTACATAGATCCCAGCTTCTTCTGGCAGCCGCAAATCCCTCAGATGCTTTTAAGTCCATGTATAGCTCCTGGCAGTACCGCATCTCGAAAATAACAAGCTCCTTTCATTTTATTATCAGTGGCATGGAGCAGTATTTCCTCTTATTTGATCCAAATTTCCCTCACTCAAGAATTTCAGAATACGGTGGGGAAAAAAAAAAATCTATGTTTATCTTAGCCATGCAGCTCAGGGACTTAATGTCTCAGGAGGTCCCCTTCCTTCTCCGGCAGGGACCTTCCAGGATGACAACTCCAGCTAAGAGACCCATCTTTCTAGACCCCTCCCCCGCCGCCTCAGAATTACCAGCGGGCCCTGTCCAGGTCCATTTGCAGTCTCTGTGAGCAGGGGCAACCAGAGCTAGACACACTACTCTCAGTCTTAGGTGCCAAAAGGTAACTAAAAAAAACCATCTTCTACTGTTTTGCTTGATGATCTCTCGATCTCTCTCTCTCTCTCTCTCTCTCTCACACACACACACACACACACACACACACACACACAGTAACAAACTGAGCTGACAGTCAGTCCTTCCTTTCATACATAGAGTTTGGGCTCTTTCTTCTTAACATAAAACCTTGCTCTCATGTTCATGCGCTGTCTCCTTGGCTAATCACAGATCTGGCCCTGCCTGCTTGGCTCTTTGCCGCCTAAAAGTTTAAGGCCACCCACGAGCAAGTGATTTCCTTCTCATGGTTTTTGTTTTTAAGATTTTATTTATTGGGGCGCCTGGGTGGCTCAGTGGATGAAGCCTCTGCCTTCGGCTCGGGTCATGATCCCAGGGTCTTGGGATCGAGCCCCGCATCGGGCTCTCGGCTCGGCTCTCTCTGCCTGCCCCTCTGCCTACTTGTGATTTCCATCTGTCAAATAAATAAATAATTAATTAATTAAAAAAAAGATTTTATTTATTCATTTGACAGAGAGAGACACAGTAAGATAGAGAGAGAGAGAGAGAGCAAGCGAGCGCACAAGCAGGGGGAGTGGGAGAGGGAGAAGCAGGCTTCCGGCTGAGCAGGGAGCCTGACGTGGGACTTGATCCCAGGACCCCGGGATCATGTCCCAAGCCCAAGGCAGACACTTAACGACTAAGCCACCAAGGCACCCTTCTCCCTCATGTTAAGTTCAAATAGTCCTAAGTCATTGCTATGAAAATATTCTTATATTTTACCCACAGTGTTAACATTTATGCATAGATTTGATTCTTGAGATTCTGTGGAAGAAAAATAATTCACACACACACACACACACAGACACACACACACACACCCCTCATGGTAACATGATTTTAAATGTCATGGGCCTTTTTCTCTTTCCTCATGTATCCCCTTTTCTGAGAAATCTTGTCAAATCTCTGAAGGTCAAGAGGGACCACATTGCCCAAGTGCCTATTTGCCACCCCCTCCGAAAGCTCCAATAAAATGACCAAGTATTTTTTCCTCTTGCAGAATACAGGCCCCTGTGTTTTTTTTTTCTTTTGAGATATTAACTGGATAAGTTCATGAAATCTGAGAGAGAAATAAAAAGGTCTCCTTCATTAGAAAAAAAACAGAAATTTATACACCAGGCAACCCCAGAGAAAAAGGACACATGAATCAAAAAGATAATTGTGCTTTTACTCAGTAGTCAGTGTCCAGGTGAGGTGTTCTCTTCTTTCTTGCATTTCTGTATTTTCCAAGTTTTCTGCAACAAACATATTTTGCAGACAAGGGCGGCAAGGGTCATATTCGAAGGCACAGATGGTTAGAACCCAGCTGGTGGAGCTCTCTGCAGCCACAGACAACATCCCCTCAGTGGAATGACTGCTCGGGTTGTTGAAACAAACATAATTCAGTGACACCAGCATGGCTGTTGGGGATTGTAAGGAGGGGCAGGATACACTTTTTTGCCTCCGAGGAGTATCAGCCAAAAGAGAGAGAAGGCTCACTAACTCTACCAGTATTGATCTGGGATGTGCCCTGCCAAGTACAGAGCTTCTCATAAAGTCTCATTCCTCTGAGGGTCAAAACGTAATGTTTAAGTGTGTGGGCTCTGGAATTAGAGTTCCTGGGTTCAAATCTCACTCCATCACAGGTTGACTAACCATGACTTGGGATGGATTCCCCAACCTCCCAGTGCTCTGATGACCATGGCAGTGAGTGGGGAGACCCAAGTAAGACTAGAGTTTTGAGGTGCCTGGCACGGAATGAGTGTGGCGGAAGGGTTAACAACTTTACCCTCCTCCATTGAATGCCCAGGGCTGCAGCCCAAGCCTGCAAAGTCAAGTCATGCTGAATGCTGGCGCCAGGCCCTGCTCATTTCTCCTCCAGAGACAAAGTCAGGGGAAGCCGCATGCTGCTCTCGACCTCTGTGGTTCCAGTAAAACCTCAACTTTTCTAAATCAACGTAGACGGTGGAGTTTCAGAGCCTGTATTTTCCAGTACATTTGTCCTTTCTCCCACCAGGTATGCGGTCAGCAGATTTGGGCAAGTTAGTTTCCTGGATTCCCTGGGAAATCCAGAAGAAAAGACTGGGTCACACAGGCTACTCAACGTTTGCCCTGCTCCCCTTGGGTTCATTATTACTCTTTCCTGAATTTGTTCATCAAAAAAATCTAGTGCCACCTGCTGTTTCTACGATCTTAGAATGCAGACTCTAGGAACCCAGGTGATGAACTAGAGACTGGAGCATCTTGAACCTGATAAGGAAGCCTTGTAAGAAGTTCTTTCAAAACAGGGAACTTGGATCTGTCTCCTCCTGTACCATTCTCCATCCGTGGTCAGGCACAGTCAATGGAGAATTTTCTATTCCTTTTTTTTGGGGGGGAGGGTGGTTGGAGATAGAGGTATATAATTGGTGTTGAAACTGATACCAACATCATAATGAGATTTTTCCGAGATTCGTTTCAGAACAGATACTTTGGGCAATTCAGTAATTCCACAGATCCAATAACTTGTTTTTATGTTTACAAAGTGAAAGATTAAAAAGTCCTCTTCAGAAAAAGAAATCCCAGTATTCCATCTCTTAGCTACACACACACACACACACACACACACACACACACACACAGTCTTCACAAAGAAGAAAAAATCAGAAGGACGAGAAATAAGGCATTCTCAGTTCTCCTGCCATAGCTCCATTTTTGGTTCCCATATAATGTCATTTCAGTCCAAAAGGTTTCAGAGGGCATCGACAGGTAACATAGCATTGGGTAAGGGAAGAGATCCTAAGGGACAGAATGGTTCTATGTCTTTGGAGTGGCTGGTGGTCCCCGAGGTGCCGAATGCTGACATCTTTAGGAATCAGTAACAGCCATGCACAACAGATGTGGCAGATGGCAGCCCCAAACCGGGCCGCCGTGGGCCCAGACGTCACTGTGCTGCCCATTCACGTTAACTGACTGATGGGTGGGCCCTGGGACGGCGCCCACTCCCACGTCTGCATGAGGCTCCTGCGAGGCCAGGACACCTCTCCAGGGCTAAGGAGATGGAGCATCTTGGCTCCGCCGCGCCCCTTCTCACCCTCAGCCCTGCAGAGCGAGCAGGCTCAGCCTTCCAAGTGGCCAGCTTCCAGCTGTCTCTATTTTCTCCTCTCCTCCCCAGAAACTCCGGGCGCAGAGGAGTGTTTTGGTCCTGTGTCTGCTTCTGCTCAGGCCAGCGAGGGCCTCTGCTAACTCCCGGGGGAAGGGCAGTGAAGGCTGAATATGTTCCTTTTAAAATTCTTTGGGGGCTCCTTTCTTTTCCCGGTTTCGGTTTCCATGCCCACTGCTCGCAGCTCTCCCTTCCTCAGGCGCCAAGATGCTGTGATTTCTTGGGGAGCCCCTCCCAGGATAGGAAGGTCATCGCTTCTCTGCTCCTCCTTACCCAACACATCCCCGTGCCAAATGATAGGCTTTTCATTGGAATAGTTCTACCGCCTGCACTGAAAAGACGGGATTTCTTTGTGACCAAATAAAGACTTTGAGGATTCTGCCACCCCTCACAGCCTTGCGAGGCCTCCCTGGAAAGCCAGTTCTTCTCACGACACTCGGTTGTCCTACCCGAGCCTCTTCCATGCCTGAATCTCTCCGTACCCAGCTGGGTTTGCCGTCTGTCCCGCCTCGGGGCCGAGCCCAGTTCCTGGCACCAAAGGCAGACACCCACAGGTCTGTGGAGAAACCACATGGTGCTTTCCTGCGAGAATTCTCTCCCCCTTCTGGAGACTGCCTGCTCATTCTCCAGGACCAGGCTTGCACGTTACTTCCTCCGGGAAGTCTTCCTTGAATCCCTTGGGTCTTCCGAGTTTTCATTTCCTTGCCTCTGGGAGTCCTCATTTGGGCACTAAGCATATTGTAGGTGGTTCGCTGGTGTACTCCCCTGCTTGACTGTGAACCTGTAGGGAGCAGAGCCTGTGTCTTCCTCCTCTGTGCAGCCCTGTGCTTCCCACAGGCCGGGGCACATTATCTGGTCTACAGGAATACAGGAGTTTATGCCTGATGGGCCTAGGGACTGTGCCTATGGGCCTTTTGTTTCCTAAATAAGTGACTCCTCACCTTACTTGAGTAGTAAAATACCGTGGCCTTGAAGCAGGAAAGGGAGACAGGCTTATCAAAAAGATGATCAATATTTGTAGGTTAATCATTAGCTTTCAAACAGGATAAAAAAAAATCTTCATGTTTTTCAATTGCATTCTTTCGGGAGCAGGTCTGGGTGCTACCTTGCCTGTGGTGGTGGCCTCTTCTGGCTTCACAGAGGCAGAAGGCCTGCTCCTCTCCACAGGACGTCTGATTCACCAACTAATGACACAGACCTGCAGGTTATTTTCCCAAGAAGATGCGGAGGATAACACAACCCGGGGATCCTTGAGGCCAAACCCTGACATATGTGAGGCATTTGGGGTGACGAGATGAGCAAGTTTACTCTTATTTCTGGAGCTGGCTTCTCTCAGGTAAACCTTGTTCTTTAGGACTAAACTCACCATTCTTTTCATTTAGTTAAATCAACATCTATTGAGCCCTTGCCAGGGGCTGTGGCACTGTGGGAAATTGAGAGATGAAAATGACTGACGCGGGGCGCCTGGGTGGCTCAGACTTTAAGCGTCTGCCTTCAGCTTGGATCATGGATCCCAGGGTCCTGGGATCATGCCCCAAATCGGGCTCCCAGCTCAGCAGGAAGCCTGCTTCTCCCTCTCCCACTCCCCCTGCTTGTGTTCCCTCTTTCACTCTCTCTCTCTCTCAGTGTCAAACAAATAAATAAAATCTTTAAAAAAGAAAGAAAGAAAGAAAAGAAGATGACTGACCCTACAGGAAAGCCAGCAGGATTAAAACATAATGGGAATCCCCAGATAAAAACCTTTATCATGCTATAGAGATAAAATTGAGTGCAAAGAGCTTATCAAACACCTCCTAGGAGAAAGGGGCTGTGCCGCCACATGCTGGAGCCTAGAAATGAGGGCCGCTGTGATCCTCCAAGAACTTGTTCTGCAGAAGTAAGTACCCTACGAGGGCAAGCCCTGGGCACCAAGTGGGGTAATTACACATCCCTTCTCTTTTCACCCCTCATAAGGCCCGGAAGATCCCTGAGGGTTCACAGAAGGAACATGGTGGAGCCTGGGCCAGGGACGTGCCCCACAAGCGGACATGCCATGTTTCCAGGTAAGAGGTTCCTGAACCGCACACACTTTGAGGAGAATGGATGACTCCAGCCCTTTCCATCCAGGCTTTCGTGGGGAGAGGTGCTTTGGGGTGCTATATCAAGACAGAGAGGACTGAGGGATCCCTGGATGGAGGGGGCCGGAGGACCCTAGGATAGAGGAAGCTGGGTGTACCTGGATGGAGGGAGGGGTCTCGAGGACTCCAGGATGCGGGGAGCTGAATGCAGCTGGATGAAGGAGGCTGGTGGACCCTAGAATGGAGGGAGGTGGACCTGGATAGAGGGGTGAGAGGTAGGCCAGGAGAGACGTCTGGACACGCCTGGATGGAAGGGGCTGGGGGATCCTGGCGCCTGAGCTGCGGTCCCTGGTGTGGGATCGTGTGTCCCTTGACTGCTGGCAAAGGGCCGGTGCCCCACCCTCGGCCCCGCCACCCACCTGGGCATGCCCTGGCGTAGTCGAAGCAGCAGTCCCCCGTGAGGCGGCAGGCTTGGTCGCAGAAGCACGTCCCGTAAACCCTGTCCAACCTCCAGCCGCGCACGAAGCAGGCGGCGTCCCGGCCCGGGCAGCAGCGCCCCGCCTCGGCGCAGCCGGCCAGAGTCCCCGGCCACAGCCGCGCCAGCGCGCACAGCGCCAGCCACAGGGTCCTCATGGCCAGCGCTCCGGCAGCGCCTGCCACTGCGCAGAGCTTCGGGAGAGTGCGGGCTCCTCGGAAAGCGGCGGGCCCGAGCAGCCCGAGCGGCCGGCAACGCGCAGCCCGGCCCGGCCCTGCTCCGCGCCCGGCCCGGCCCTGCCCCGCGCCCGGCCCCCGCCCTCCGCGCCGCCCCTCCCCAGCCCTGGCGGCGGGCCGGTCGGGGCGCGGGCGGGTGCTGCGGCAGCCGGCTCCCAGGTGGGCAGGGCGCCTCTCCCCGGGGCGCCCGGATCAGCGCTCGGGGCGCCAGCCCCTTGCCCGCTCGCCGCCCTGCGCCCCTCGCCCGCGGGGACCGCCCTGGGAGAGAGCCGAGCAGCAGGTGCCCCGGGATCCTCGCGACCCAGGACCGTCGGACCCGCCAGCGGCTCGGCCAGTACGGCCACATTTCCTGCCTCCAGCCTCTGTTTCCTAACGCTGGGTCTCAGGTTCATGAGTGGGCATTTTACTCTGAATCCTAGAGACGAGTAACTGTCGCTTGATGCGCAACAAACCGGTCTCCGCCGCCCAGTGTGAGCGGGTCACCCTGTCTTCGCAGGGGACAACTCACGCTGTATTTTCTTGCGGAACCCCAGTCTCCGCGGGTCACAGAGGCCCCTTAGAAGCAAGGAAGTAAGACCAAAGCAGCATCCTTTCTTTGCCGTATTTTATGATGAGATTTTTTTTCCTGGCCCAAGGAAATGCCACTTTGCTTCGCTGAAGGGGCAGTTGATGGATGTTAAGGAAAGGATAACAAAATAAACTGTGTTCTGCTTTCTGTTAGAGCAGATTTCCCCAAAGAAACCCTGCTTAATGATATTGTAGCAATAAATCCGGCTTTAATAAAGCGCGCATCTAACTCCTCATACATTTCCCTCCCCCTCTCTCTCCAGATTTATTACACTTTCTGCACCTCACTCTTTCTGTTAACCAAAAATTATCCTGGGAGTTTTATTTTATTTTATGTTCTTAAATCATTTAAACTATTATGGTTTGGGTGAGAAACCAGGAACATGACGTTTCCTGTATCTGTGAATCTAAGATTTCTAATGAATTTCAGAGACGAACTTTTTCCCTTTCTCATGCAAAGACTGCTTATAGAGAAATTTCCTTTACTCTTTAGAGAGACAAGAAACAAAAACGTTAAAAAAATTCTTCACTATAGAAGTAGTAAGACAATAAAAAACAAGAAGTTATGAAGTGAAAAAGATTTCATACATCATAAGAACTGTATCTTATCAATTTTAAGGAAAGCACAGTCTAAAGTCAAAAGAAATTCATTCTTGGTGATTATTCATACAAATAAATCTCAGGGTTGGAATTTCATTTTTGCTTTACTCTTTAGTTAAGTCTCTCTTAGTTTAGCAATTTAAATAAATAATACATAGTTTTAAAATGTTTTGTATTTTAAGTTCTTGGTAGTTGGTACTAAATAACTTTGTCAGCAAATTACACCCTCTGCTTTTACCTGTGTTGTAGGTTTTATTAGCAGCTTTGTACTAACTCATTCATGTAATTTATCCCCCGCTTCTCCCCTAAGGCTGTCTCCTTTATGGAATGCCTTTAGCTGGAGACAGATTCTGTAATGCCGTAAGAATCTGGAGTTGTTCCAGAAAAATGTAAAGGAAATGATCCACTAAGTTCATTTTCAGGAATAAAACATGAAATGAAGTGATATGGGAATGGAAAAAGATGATGTCCAGTTTAGAAGGAATAAACATATAATGTCAAATACCTCCCCCCCCCCCCGCCCACTGCCCTTTTCTTTATGCCTAGACAAAGCCAAAACCAAAAACCAAAAAAGAAAGTTGGGGGTCTGTGCTCAGGAGGTTTGGGTCTGTTTCTGATTCTATGATTTCCGACAAATCACCTCAGTGTCCTCACTTCCAACACAGAACGCTACAACTTTTGAGATCACTGTGAGATGGCTACAGAAACAAGGTAATATGTGTAATTTGAGCACAAAATGGGCACTGATATCTACTAGTGTCCTAATGCCCACACCCACCCCCGCTCCATAATTTAACCCTAAAACCAAGCAAAAGATAAACTTGGTTTTAATCGTGTGCAAAATAGAGGCGGGCACAATGTAGGAAAAAAAAAAGTCAAAGAAGAAAACCACAAATAAATGATTACTACTTTAACGCCAAACATAAAAGGGAGCTTGTCTCTGATAAGTAACATTGAAAAAAAAAAAAATTCATGGTCTCCAGTTAAAGCTTGCACTGTCTTGCAAAGATCAAGATAAGGCTCTCCCCTAGCAGGCCCAAGCAAAGGGAACAGCTCCTGCAGGATGGGGCAAGGTCGGGGGACGCTGACATTTAAAGCAATGGAGTCCACATACTTGCTGGAAACTGCGTGCAGTCCAACGTAACAGTCTGTCACTTTGTTTTCCGGTCTTGTGTTTGGAGAATAGGAGTCATCCCCGTGATCATGTGGACGAATACAGGAAGTAATCAAAAGCACCTTAAAAGTCACCCTTTCTTCTGAAGTGTTGTCTTTGGAAGCTATCCAAGATGGGTAAAATTACAGAGGGGGAACAGAGGCCTTTCTGTTCATCAGATTCCAGAATGCAGTCATTTTAAAGGACATTCACATATATGATCTCATTCAACCTTGCATAATTGTGAGGAAAATATTGGCACTCCCATTCAGCAGATGACAGAGATTAGACGTGTAGCTAATTAGTGACAAAAGGGGACTAGAACTAAAATTATTCTTTCCAAAACATTACAGAGTTCTTCCCATTACTTCAAGCTTGCTGCTGGTGGGGAGATGGTAATGGAAAGTAGAGACAAGTCAGATTAAGTGCTTATACTAAATACTGTAACTAGTATTTGGGGAAATGAAAATACAAATCACTTCCCAAAGTGTTTGGATACATTTAGAATGTAAAATGGATCAGGGGTTATGAAAGGCATCCAGAATGCTGTGAGCGAGATGGAGGGACCCTCTTGAGGTTGATGAACAGAGCAGTTGATTCTGGCCGGTTTGGGGACATGTGTCAGAGTCAGAGTACTGCATGGATCTCAAGAGCTTCATATTTTGTTGAATGCCAGACACCTTTGATGGTAAGAGTCACCATTCTCTTATGCACATTTTCTAAGATGCACATTTTCTCATATTTTAACGTCTCTAAAACTGAGATCTGGTACATAAGACATAAGGAAAAAAAAAACATCGAATAATTAAGTTTGATGCACATAAATATGCCTGGATTGCAGGATTTTCTTAGTCTGCTTGGGCTGCTGTGTAACAAAAAAACAAAAACAAAAACAAAAACATAAACTGGGCAGCTTAGCAACAGCACAAATTTATTTCTCTCAGTTTTGGAGGCTGGGAGGTTGAAGATCAAAGGACCTGCAGATTTGGTATATGGTGAAGGCTGCTTTCTGGTTCATAGACAGTGACTTCTAGCTGTAACCTCATTTCCAGAATATGAGGATCCAGAAGGGAGTGGGAACTTTGTGGGGTGTCCTTTATAAGAGCACGGATCGCATTAATGAAGGCTTCACCCTCATGACCTAAGCCCCTACCAAAGGCATCACATCCTCATACCACCACCTTGGGCATTAGGTTCCAGCATATGGATTCGAGGAGGACATAAATGTTCAATCCATTGCAAGAATGGATGTCAGTTTTAGAGACGTTAAAATATGAGAAAATGTGCATCTTAGAATTCATGAGAAACCGAAAGAGATGACACTTCCATCATTTACATTTTATAGCATATTTTCCAGTTCCTCCTATAAGACAGCTCTCGTTAATGTTCTCATTTTGTGGAAGGGGAGCGTCTGAGGGGCTAAACGAGCTTCCCGGTAGTCCGCGGGCACAAGCCCAGCTCTTTCCTCAGTACCAGCACGGCTCATTTGGTTATAGTCACTCACTTCCCGTGGGTCAGATGTTCCTTCAGGCTGAGGATCAAAAATGGGTAAGAAATGGTTCTTTCCTAAGGAGACTGAGCTCCATTGGACATGCTAGGTGTATACAGTTATTGCAGTGTGTTGTGATGAGAATCGTCCTGAATGGGAATGCTGGGGGATGTTGGAGTCACTGGAGCTGGCCAGACAAGTGAGACACCGAATTAGAATACATTCTTAGTTATAAAGACTAGGAGGAGTTATAAAAATCCTACTCATACAAGACGAGGATTGGGTCCCTATTCCTCCTTTTCCTTTCTTCCTGCAAAATGCAGATTTAGCCACTAGGAAAAGATTGAATACTTTTTGGGGAAGGTCCTGCCTTCATGGGCTGATGCATGTTCATTTAATAATGCCATAAAGCAGGCAAGTATCCAAAGAAACTTGTTTAAGATTGGTGTACACGATGTACTTTGAGCAATTTTCCCCTTACCGCCTTCCAACAAGTGGTCAAGAACACCACTACCAAGCTTTACGCTGCCAACTTTGCATCTTTGATGGTATCAGTTAAATAAACATGGAGTGGGTGGGATGCCTGGGTGGCTCAGTCATTAAGCAACTGCCTTCGGCTCAGGTCATGATCCCAGGGTTCTGGGATCGAGCCCCACATCAGGCTCCCTGCTCAGCAGAGAGCCTGCTTCTCCCTTTCCCTCTGCACTCCTCCTGCTTGTGTGCTCTTTCTCTCTGTGTCAAATAAATAAATAAGACTTAAACAAACAAGCAAACATGGAGTGGATATGGAAGTGGTAAGGAAATTCACTGGTTGCTCCCAAAATATTTATTCTTCCCTTCTTTTTTGAAAGCCCCCAGATTTTCACTTGTGGGGAGAGTAACCCTTCCTTCCACTGTGTGACAGATCTTTCTGGGTGGATGAACCCCACTCCTAGCTCTAGGGACGGGCTCTGAGGGCTAATTCCATCCTTAGCCTATGGCCCCGTCCAGGAACTCGCCCAATCAGAGCTCTAGCATCTGGATGTTTGTTCCATACGTGATCAGGTTTCACCTTGACCCTTACTGAATGCGAATGAGGATGCAGAGTGGCCTAAGTGAAGCCAGCCCCAGATCTCAGCCAACAAGCCAAGGAAGGCTGAGCCAGGAGGCCC